CAGGTGGTATCGACGCGGAAGTGGCAGCTTGTGTACAGTCAGCCGCAGCTCACAAGTGCATTGCCATAATTAATCGTCTTACCTGTAGACTGATGACGTAACTGGCGTCGTATCGACGGTCTTGCAATGCGCGCGAGACAGCTGCGACAGACCCATGGCGCCGACAGCATGCTGAGTTTTCGTCGTGGCAGCGTGACGGGGAAAAAGCGTGCACCAGAAGCAATCAGACGCGCTTTCCGAATCGCGCACACACTTGGAAGGAGCGCTGGCACGTGATGGCGTTTGACTTTCGTTGCGCGACGGGAACCTTGTCCTCATCAACTCTTGACCACCTTCCTAATTTCGATTCGTTCTCAATCATCGGCAAAGACTACACAGATCCACACCAGGAAATCCGAGGCAACATGGAGGAGCTTCCAGCGAAATCGGCACTTCGCCTTTTCCCGACGGCATCGCGTATCTCCGGGTATAGCCGTTGACTATATCATCAGCGAATGTCATGCCCCATACCCCGCGTATTTGCTGTCAAACACCACGAAGTGGTTGAATCATCGGTTGTGCAGAAGACACGAAGAGATCAAGCAAATATCACGCCTATTGACACAAGGGCATTGACCAGCCATGGCCAACGTCTACCTCCACCCTGAACCTCAGTTCGTGCACTTTGCCAGTCGCCGGTCCGTTGTACACAGTACAAAGGGAATCGTCTCATGTACTCAACCTCTCGCAACCGCTGCTGGAATCGACATACTGAGGAAAGGCGGCAATGCCGCGGTATGACGTAACCCTCGTTCACGTGAATGATGGCATGCTGATTGCGAACAGGACGCTGCAGTGGCTGTTGCAGCAGCCATCAACGTCACTGAGCCTGGCTCCACCGGCATCGGTGGTGACATGTTCTGTCTCTTCTATGATGCCAAGACCAAGAAGGTGTCTGCCATGAACGGATCTGGTCGATCTGGTGCAGCCGTCACTCTCGAGAAGATCAGGAAAGACCTCAAGATCCCGGATGGCGAGACCGGCGAGATTCCTATGGACAGCGTACATGCAGCGACAGTACCTGGTGCAGCCGCAGGGTGGGTCGATTGCCACGAGCGCTTCGGCAGCGGCAAAGTAAGCCTGGAAGAGATTCTTGCACCGGCGATCGATTTGGCTGAGAATGGCTTCCCTGTTTCAGAGTTATCTGCCACTTTTGTAAGAATGCCAGAACACGCGTTTGTGGCATATGCTGATTTCCACAGTGGGCGCAAAGCGAATCAGCCCTCAGGAAAGCATCGCCCAATGGACATGAGATGCTCAAGAAGGACCCATCAGCAAAGGACGGCTGTAGGTCGCCGAAGGCTGGTGAAGTTATGAAGAATCCTACCATGGCCAACACATTCAAACTGCTTGCAAAGCATGGCAAGAAGGGCTTCTACGAGGGTGAAGTCGCTGAGCAGATTGTCAAGGTTGTGTCCGATCTTGGCGGCTACCTGACCCTGGACGATTTGAAGCACCACGCAGAAACTGGCTCTGAGCCCGTGGATCCTATCTCGCTCAAATACACCGGTCAAGGTGTTGGCGAGTCCACAAATGGCGGCATCGAGCTTTGGGAACACCCTCCCAACGGTCAAGGCATTGTTGCATTGATGGCACTTGGTATCATTCAGGAGCTTGAAAAGCAAGGCAAAATCTCGAAGTGGGGCTTGAAAGACCACAACACAGCCCAGCATCTCCACGCTACCATTGACTCCCTCCGCATTGCCTTTGCAGATGCGCACTGGTTTGTCACCGACCCGAATGTTGTCAAGGTCCCATCTGCCGAGCTCATCTCGCAAGAGTACCTCGCTGAACGCGCCAAACTCTTCAATCCTAAGAAGGCTGCCGACGCTCCAGTCCACGGCTCGCCGGCCCACCTCCGCAGCGATACCGTATATTTCTGCTGCACTGACCAGGAAGGCAACGGGATCTCGTTCATCAACAGCAACTACGGCGGCTTCGGTACGGCGATCGTTCCCAAGGGCTGCGGCTTTACTCTGCAAAACCGCGGTGCAAACTTCAACCTCGCAAAGGGACACCCCAACGAACTTGCACCCCGGAAGCGACCATACCACACCATCATCCCTGGCCTGACAACTTACAGCGACGGCAGCTTGCACTCCGTCTACGGCGTCATGGGCGGGTTCATGCAACCGCAGGGCCACGTGCAGGTCCTGCTGAACCAGGAAGTCTTTAAACTAAACCCACAAGTGGCACTCGACTCACCGCGCTTCTGCATTGGCGCCGGTATGCCGAGCGCTGATGGCAAGCTGACGGACGCGACAGTCTACCTCGAGGAAGGTATCGACGCCAAAGTCGTCGAGGAGCTGAAAGCGCTAGGCCACAACGTCAAGCAGCTAAGTGGGTACGGGCGAGGCATGTTCGGTCGCGGTCAGATTATCAGAAGGCATACAGACGACGGATTGACTGTCTGGAGCGGTGGAAGCGATCTGAGGGGCGATGGCGCTGCTGTCCCACTCTAGATATTGTGTTGACGATATAGTTTCAGACTCAAATTTGCTACATATACCAATTCGTCTACTTTCACAAATAGGTGATATTCGAAACAACACCACGTAAGTCCGGATGAACGATGCAGTCGGTGTCACCATGGACCGTGTTAGATTCTGGGATCTATGGAATTGAAATTTTGCCCGATAATAAATCTAGATTTTAGGCAACAATCAGTTGATGTTGGCGGTGAGTGCGCTCCGTTTGTTCGTTTGCCTGTTGGCCCAAGTCACTCACCCATAGCAACCTCGACACCCCGCCTCCGTATTCCAGTACTCGCTTTCGCCAACGCCGCTTTCAATCTCCTAGCCTTACAGGAGGTACGTCTTTTGTGGGCACAAAGCTTTGCACTGCTGAGACAAGACAGTTCGGCAACAGAACGCGCAATGACCGGTGGTGGCAAGGCGTCGTGCGAAACCCTTCTTCGACATCTTCGAGAAAGGTTTCCTCGAGACTTCTCAATTCAAGAAGGGTCAGAAAGGAGACGAGTTCGACGAAGTGCACGAGCAGACCATTCTCGATGAGACAAACGGGGCAGGCCGTTACTCTTCCTATCTTGCGCAAGAGTCTTTGAAGACCAGTCTCGACTAGCAAGCCTGTCCTGCTTGGAATCTCGCATCTTTACTGTTGGTGGCGGTAGTATGCTGGTGTATCTAAGGGAGGGGTATCCCGTTTATAAGTCGATTCACCAGAGAAGTGTTCGAGTGCATCGGATGTAGTGAACATACCCAATTCAAAACACATCGCTAGCGAATTACTTATTATTATGCCTTTAATAAATACTTGATTCTTAAGTTATTAGAAAGTAGATAAATTATAGCAGACGTTACTCAATACAGGTATTGTCTTCCATCACAAACATTTAGACATCTGTTAAAAAAAATAACAAGTCTTTACACGTTCTGTTCAAAGAAGTGTCTAGTAATTAACAGCTTTACTTTGGTAACAATCTCGCTATCCAAGTAAATTTCCTACAATAGTAACATTTCTTAGATGAATATTATTCATCTGAAGACATTCTTCCATCAACACAAAACCTTTCTTTACTAGATATTGTTTTCTTTCCAAACGACATTTCTTTGTAAACAGGCTTTATCCGACAAACAAGCTTCAGTTGTTCAATGTACAATTTTGAGATGAACCATCTGTAACCTTTACGTAGCGCATTCACAACAATTGACAAAAAAAACCTATCCAAGCTTCCCTGCGCAACCCCCTGCCATTACGACCAGACTGCAGGCTCTTGATGCTAGATCTGTCTTTGCTAGACTGCATTACGTTCCATCGAACTATGAGCTCGTCAACAGCCTTCTTGTCGTCATCGCAATTCAGCTGCTGCAGCCTGAGAAGGATAGCGGACGTAGCATAGGAGCGCCACCAATATCCATCGTCTTCTATGAACGTGTCTGCTGAGAGTTGGCGGCCCTCTGAGAGCGCGATAGTGTGATGTCGGATCACGAGCTCGAACGCTCTGCTGCGCTCCAGGTACGGTCGGAGCATCTCTGTGCTGCAGGAGAATGAATCTACTCCGATGCAGACCATGGTGGGGGTATCCAGCGCCGCCCTCAGCTCCTGATCGACTATTCTAGTAAAGTCTATCGCCCTATTCTTGTTTGACCGGACCGTTTCCGTTTCGGACGGTTGGGTCCAGTCAGTACGGTGTAACGGGCTCGGCTTTGGTGCGGACTGGACATGTACGCCAGCAACAAGGGTGGCCCTTCTGTCGCCTCCATACAGTTTCCGATACGCTTTCAGGATGGGGGATGCCCATATGGATGTAGTCAGACCCTCCGCCAGGGTGTCTTTTCCAGCAAACCACGGTTTCGGAGGTTCTCCAGAAAACCTGGCAACGAGAACGATCGATGGTGTTTTTCCATGGTCAGGTCCGCAATCGATGCGCAGAACACGCTCCGTTCGCTGTGTGCCCTTAGGCCGGGTCTCTTGTCCGCAGCTCCCCTCGTGCGTTGCAAGAAGATGCAGATTTGGCCAGCGCGTCCCGCAGCCTCGCCCGCACGCTGCATCTCCAATGTGGATGTCGTGCTTGTGGGCGCTGTAGTGGTTCTGCAGCCCATTGTGGGCGTCGCAGGAAAAAGAAATCGGCTACACCATCTCGCGTCTCAGCAGTAGGCTGTCGAACAGTACTGTTGGAGGCTCTCAGCGTGAGCAAATACTGTTCTCAGAATTGAGAAAAGTTGGTGTAGTCTTGTCATGTTTTTTCATGGCTGGAGATGGTGTAGAGAAGAGCGTCGGATACTTCCCATATTAACAATGATTGTTGGCTCGCAGCCAGCCGGCTGTTTTCTGTTAGCGAGGAAAGTGATGAGGTGAGTGGGGCAGGAGTTCTGCCGCCCGCGTCCGCTTACGCAGATATTTGGCGAATTGCTGCCCCACATGCTGCGCGTAGGATCATGCTGTTCTCAGCATAATGTTTTAACGATATATATTATGTCATTTCTTGTACTTTCATCAAAGTCAGTTTGGCCGAGTGGTTATGGCGTGTGACTCAAGCGATTCTTCCGAAGAGCTTCTCATCACTACGATAGAGAGTATTCTCATGTGCTTTGCACGCAAGGGTTCGAATCCCTTAGCTGACATCATTCTTTTTGCTTTCGTGGCCTTTTTTGTTGCTTTGTGTTGTGGCGTGGCTGGTTTTCGAGTCGGGTGGGTAGGACGCTTAACGGATGTAATATGGCGTGTGTATCGCTCCCGTGAAGATTTTGCGAGTAGTCAGACCTGAACGCTCGATAAAACTTTTTTGTTTTTCCCAAACGCTGCTTTATTGCACTGTACATACGTGTTCTACTGCTGTATACTGGATGACATAGGTGAAGACAGACCGGCATTGTATTACATACTAATTTGGGTGAGGACTGGTGCAGGCGTATTGCAGCTTTCAATAGAAGTTGTTGCTGATGCGTCCTTGTCTAATGCTTCGAGCGCCGGACGCGGAATGTACTCATTGTGGCTGGGACTACAAGATCGAGACAAAGACGTTTGCAAAAGTCCAGAACCTGTGAAAGCGGCGTAATAAGAGGTTTACCGCGGAGCATCACCTCACAATACTGTCACGCATCTGATGACGGCTCTATAGGAGGCGCACAATACCTAGGATTAAAGACAAGCATTGGCATCGTCATCTCTATCGTGCACCCCTGTGAGGATCACATCTCACTTCTGGGCGGTATCGAGATCGCGACTCGTGAAGGGAGAACCGGGCGAATGAAATGGTGCCATGATCTCGGATAACGGATGCCGGGATCCTTGCAGCCCGCGAGACGTCTGTGTCTGCCTGAATGCGGAGATAGGCATTGAGGCTGAAGCCAATCAATCGAAGATTTGGGAGCTGCATCTGGGTTGTCGGCCTTTCTAAGCGCCGACACGAAGGTTAAGCACCGATCACAGTGCATGGCAACAGCGCGACTATGACGACACCACTTCGCAATTCCTAAACAGTGCAACAAACTAAACGCGTCCAAAATGGCTGCATCAGCGCGTTGGTACGCGCAGAAGTGCTTTTTGATTGTGACCTTGTACGCTTTAATAGATAATTCGGTCGGGATCCCCACTACCCGCAGACACCTTGTAATCTTGATAGCCTTTACACCGTCGTTCACGGGGCCCACTGTCCCATCTACTAACAGCCCATACTGATTGGTTGTTAGAACCATCATTTGTCTCTGTACCGGTATTATCTCCAATGGGCCCCCAAGACTTCAATATCTAACAACTCAGGGACACCTATGCCCTAAGATGACATCCAACGAGACACCAACATCGGCTGCGTCTCACCCTCATGGAGTTTCTGCAGACACATCGTTAGAACCACTTCAACAACAAACGCATGTGGACACGCATTTTGCGCTCCCAGGAACACTCGCTACCCACAACGAAGAGGCCAACGGCGGGACCTTTATCAACAATGCGCTCCACACCTCAAGCGCAAGCTATTACGGTGGGCGAGGATCCGGTCTGTTCTCGGCATCAAGCAACAGTACCGCAGTTCCGTCGCCGGATGCAATCGACGATCGCGTTCTCGAATCCAGTGAGGAACCTTCAAAGGAATCGAGGACGGAGCGCGAGGAAGAGATAGTCCCTGATGTTGTCCACAGCGACTCTTCCTCAGACTCAGAACATGAGGAATCTGGAGATTATGCGGCAATTAAACCATCCTCGTCAGCCACGAGACCTGCATTGCAGTCGAGGCAGTCTAAGCCAATGACCGAAGAAGACATTTTTCGAGTCTTGTCAAGAAGAAGGACTAGCCAGAGCAATGGTCTCGGGCGAAGAGACACACAAGCTACCGCATCGAGCGCCGATGAAGAGCAAGACGAGATCGACAAGCTTATGTCAAGAATGTTTGGACACACACGCCAGGAAGCATCGGAAGAAGAAAAGACACGTCACGTTGGAGTTGTCTTCAAGAACCTTACCGTCAAAGGTCAGGGGCTTGGGGCTGCGCTGCAGCCCTCTGTTGGTGACTTCTTTATGAATCCTGTGCGGCTCATCAAGAACCTCGTAACTCGCGGACCCAAGGCAGCTGCCGGGAAGCCGCCCGTTCGTACCCTGATTGACAATTTTTCGGGATGTATCAAACCAGGAGAAATGCTACTCGTTCTAGGACGGCCTGGTAGTGGATGCAGTACATTCTTGAAAATGCTTGGCAACCAACGGTTTGGTTACGAAGAGATCACAGGCCAGGTCAAGTATGGTGGAACTGATGCCGACGAAATGGCCAAGAAGTACAGAAGCGAGGTGCTCTACAACCCAGAAGATGATCTTCACTATGCCACTCTGAAGGTCAAAGACACGATCAAATTTGCGCTCAAAACCCGTACACCAGGCAAGGACTCCCGGAAAGAGGGAGAATCGCGAGCGGAATACGTCAAAGAGTTCCTCCGTGTCGTTACTAAGCTGTTCTGGATCGAGCATACAATGGACACCAAAGTTGGCAACGAGTTTGTCCGTGGTGTGTCTGGTGGCGAGAAGAAGCGCGTTTCCATTGCGGAGGCTATGATCACAAAAGCATCGGTGCAATCGTGGGACAATTCTACCCGTGGATTGGACGCCTCTACAGCCCTGGAATACGTACAAAGTCTACGATCTCTCACCAACATGGCCAACATCTCTACAAGTGTTGCTTTGTACCAGGCTGGCGAGTCGCTATACGATCTCTTTGACAAGGTCCTCCTGATCCACGAGGGCCGGTGTTGTTACTTTGGCCCTGCTGACCGCGCTGCGGACTATTTCAAGAATCTAGGGTTCCATCAACCAGACCGCTGGACGACTGCTGATTTCTTGACGTCAGTCACCGACGACCATGAGCGTCACATCAAGGATGGTTACGAAGACCGAATTCCTCGAACTGGCGCTCAGTTTGGTAAGGCTTTCTTCGACAGCCAACAACATCAGGATAACCTTGCCGAGATCGAGGAGTTTGAGAAGGAGACCCAGCGTATGATGGAAGATCGTCGTGCTGCTGCAACAAAGGCAACGAAGAAGAAGAACTTCACTTTGCCATTCCACAAGCAAGTCACGGCTTGTACCAAGCGCCAGTTCTTGGTCATGATCGGTGACCCACAATCTTTGGGTGGCAAGTGGGGAGGCATCTTCTTTCAGGCTCTGATTGTTGGATCCTTGTTCTACAATCTGCCGAACACTGCTGCAGGTGTTTTCCCTCGTGGTGGTGTGATTTTCTTCATGTTGCTATTCAACGCCCTTCTTGCTCTGGCAGAGTTGACTTCTGCTTTTGAAAGTCGACCAATCCTGCTGAAGCACAAGAGCTTCTCTTTCTACCGCCCTGCCGCGTATGCCATCGCTCAAACTGTCGTCGACATTCCTCTCGTCCTTGTTCAGGTCGTCATCTTCGATATAGTGGTCTACTTCATGGCCAGTCTGCAACGCACAGCATCACAGTTCTTCATCTCGTTATTGTTCCTCTGGATCATCACCATGACCATGTACGCGTTTTTCCGAGCCATTGGATCCCTGGTAGGATCTCTCGACATTGCCACACGAATCACTGGTGTCGCCATTCAAGCGCTTGTTGTTTACACCGGTTATCTGATACCTCCGAGCAAAATGCATCCTTGGTTTAGCTGGCTACGATGGATCAACCCCATTCAATACGGATTCGAAGGTCTCCTTGTCAACGAATTCTACAACCTCGAGATTCAGTGCACGCCGCCCTACATCGCCCCGCAAGTACCCGGTGCACAGGAGCAATACCAATCATGCGCGATTCAAGGCAGTAGACCAGGCTCGCTGACTGTATCCGGTGCAGATTACGCTGAAGCCGCCTTTGGCTATTCGCGCAGTCATCTGTGGCGTAACTTCGGCATCATCACAGGGATGTTCATCTTTTTCGTTTGTCTCACGGCAATTGGTATGGAGAGCCAGAAGCCCAACAAGGGCGGCGGCGCAGTTACCATCTTCAAGCGAGGCCAGGTACCCAAGTCCATCGAAAAAGACATGGAGACTCAGAAGCCCAACGACGAAGAGTCTGGCAAGACCGAGACGGCTGCAGTCAACGAGAAGGCTGAAGATAGTCAGGACTCTGACGACAGGCTGGGTGGCGTCGCGAAGAACGAAACCATCTTCACGTTCCAGAACATCACCTATACCATCCCTTACGAGAAAGGAGAACGCACTCTGCTCAAGGACGTGCAAGGATACGTCAAGCCAGGAAAGTTGACAGCTCTGATGGGTGCCTCTGGCGCTGGAAAAACGACTCTACTAAACACCCTAGCACAGCGCATCCGCTTCGGTGTGGTGCAAGGAGACTTTCTCGTGGACGGCAAACCTCTACCGTCCTCGTTCCAACGGTCGACTGGTTTCGCTGAGCAAATGGACATCCACGAGTCCACAAGCACAGTGCGCGAGGCTTTGCGCTTCTCTGCACGTCTGCGTCAGCCAAAAGAAACCCCCATACAAGAAAAGTATGACTATGTTGAGACCATCATTGACCTGCTTGAGATGCGCGACATTGCAGGCGCTGCCATCGGCACAACTGGATCTGGGCTAAACCAGGAGCAGCGCAAGAGGTTGACCATCGGTGTTGAACTTGCCAGCAAACCAGAACTGCTCATGTTCCTCGACGAGCCCACATCTGGACTCGACTCTGGTGCTGCTTTCAATATTGTCCGCTTTCTGCGCAAGCTGGCCGACGCTGGCCAGGCTATCCTCTGCACTATTCATCAACCGAGCGCAGTTCTTTTCGAGCATTTCGACCAACTTCTGCTGCTGAAGTCTGGAGGCCGTACAGTCTACTTTGGCGATCTAGGTCACGACTCAGAAACACTCCTCAAGTACCTCGAGCACAACGGTGCCAAGAAGTGTCCGCCAAAAGAGAATCCCGCCGAATACATGCTCGAAGCGATAGGTGCCGGTAATCCCGACTACAAGGGTCAGGACTGGGGTGATGTGTGGGCCAAGTCCGAGGAGAACCAAAAGCTCGGCAAGGAGATCCAGGATATTGCTTCAAACCGAAAGTCTGCTTCAAAGAACGACGAAGCCAAAGACGACCGAGCTTACGCCATGCCCTACATGACCCAGTGGCTAGCTGTTGTGCATCGCAACTTCGTAGCGATTTGGAGAG